ATTTTGGTGGAACTGAGGATTGAACTCAGGCCCCTGCACTTGCCAGGCAAGCACTTATTCCACTGAGCCATCTCCTCGGCCCCAGGACTTTATATTGTGACCATCCTATTTTCTACATATTGAATTGCCTTTTCAGTTTGAGACCTCAAACACATATCTCAAATGCTGCTGTATGTAAATGTTTCAGATCCTAAATTCTGGAGTTTACTGACTTCCTTCCTTCCATTTTCAGTCCCTGTTAATTCTGCCAGACATGCTACAAATTTAGCCCTAGGGACACTCTAAGTGAAATATCCCAGAAGTTCCTCTCCTTCTCACTGGTTGTTTCCATTACAACAGGAGCAGAGTGCACACTGAGTGCAGACTTGGGTTGAGAAATAACTAATTATATAATCAGGACCAAAGGTCACCATTGTCTCCCAGAAAATATAAAAGCAAACCTTTCTAGCCACTATCATCTGACTCTCAGACTCACTGCCACTATGCTGGCCTCAGGGCTGCTTCTGGTGGCTGTCATAGTCTGCCTGAGTGTAATGGTTTTAATGTCCACTTGGCAACAAAGGAAGATATTTAGAAAGCTGCCTCCTGGACCCACACCACTACCATTCATTGGAAACTACCTGCAGCTGGATACAGAACAGATATATAACTCCATTATGAAGGTGCACAGGCAGGGGATGGATGGAGTGCAGCAGGCATGGGGCTATGGTGATTGCATGCTTTTTCTGAGGCTTTTTGTAGGGATTGGCAAGGAGGTCCATAGTTTTGGAACAGAGTTGTGAATATTCAGCAGTATTCAGTTGGAGAAAAAGATCTTGTGATGTTCTTCCCCTTGACTGTGAATCCTGAGAAATGTTTACCTCAGCCACTTCTTGCTGATTAATATGCCAATTTTGAGAGTGACCGTTGTAATGGCTCCCACTACCCTTATCAGATCAGCGAACGCTATGGTCCTGTGTTCACCATTTACCTGGGCACTCGTCGTGTCGTGGTTCTATGTGGATATGATGCAGTGAAGGAGGCTCTTCTGGACCAGGCTGAGGATTTCAGTGGGCGAGGGGAGCAGGCCACCTTTGGATGGATCTTTGAGAACCATGGTGAGGAATCTCAAAGGTGGGGACTTGGGACTAGGTAGAGCTGGTCGGTGCAGTTCCCCCTGCCTTCCCTGCTGATGCAGCTGCCCTCTCAATTTTGTAGAAAGTCTTTCATCTGGTCTTCGATCAACACCAGTTGTGCTATGTGATTTCATTATTGCTCCTCTCTTTCTGTGCCTGTATTGGAGTTTCTGTGCTCAACTCTCTCTACTTCTGTGTCTACACTTGTCTTCTTCCTTCTCATCAAATGTTCTTTCTCTTCACTAAAGCTATTCTTGTAGCAGAACTCTTTCAGTTACACTATTGGAATGTTGTTCCTCTACTTTATTTGATCTTTTTATGAAGTTCAATGTCTGTGACTTTCCATGACTTGTTCTGTCTCCTTCTGCCTCCCTTCCTCCTCCCTCCACAGAATCTCAATGTGTATTTCCTGGGCCTCTTGATTCACCTCCTCACAACTGTGTCTCCTCTTTGAAGAATCTGTTTCTCTCTCATGATTTCTGTGTTCCACAGCTTAGTTAAGAGTCCTTGTTAATTTTTATGTTTACCTGCAGAAATCAATAATTTCATGTCCCCTCTGTCTAGTCTTCTCCTTCCCACCTTCCTGGATTTCTGCATTTGTACTGTATGTCTTGTTCTCAGTATGTTTATCTCATATTTTGCCTCTCCTCTCAGATATCTGTCTTCAGATTTTTACACTTCCTGCATATTTCTGAGTTTGAAAAATCTCCCAATTTCTTCTGCTATAGCTTTTCTCACACTCCCTGCAGTCTATCCAATATGTCATTGTCCGTGAAACAGCCCAATTCTCCAATTCCCCATAAGGGTGATCCATGACCTGTCTTCTCTGCATCTCTCCCCTCTGCACACCTCTGTGGTCACATCCATAGGTGTAGTGTTCAGCAACGGGGAGCGCTGCAAACATCTCAGACGCTTCTCCATCTCAACCCTGCGAGACTTTGGCTTGGGCAAGCGTGGAATTGAGGAACGCATCCAGGAAGAGGCAGGCTTCATCGTGGAAGCATTACGGAGCACAGGTGGTGAGTAGGGGCCACTTGGTGTGCAGTGAGGGAACGAAAAGCATCCAACAAAGAGACTTGGAGAAATGTGCCCAGTTCTCAGCCAAATGTTTAGTGCTGCAAGATGGCTCATCTCTGGGGAGCACTGCTGAAGTTCTCAGATGGCATTAATCTACCCAACTGCATATCATTATCTCTCATCATAATCCTTTTCTGACTTTCAGGTACTTTCATAGACCCCACCTTCTACATCAGCCAAGCAATCGCCAATGTCATTTGCTCCATTGTTTTTGGGGACCGTTTTGATTATGAAGACAAAGAGTTTCTGTCACTTTTGAGCATGATGTTACAAAGCTTCCAGTTCACAGCTACTTCGACTGGGCAGGTAATGTTTTCTAGCCTGGGTCCATTCATGATAAATACCTGTCAACTGCACCCTCACAGGGCCACCAGTGCCTCAGACTCCAATCAGTATTCATAAATGACACCCTCAAAAAGCCCTCACTGTTGAACTATTGAAAAGTGCTCCAATCCCAAAAGAAGTGAACAATACACAGTCTCTAGGGCAGCTGAAAATTTCAAAAAGGTCCAAAAATAGATGCTGAAGGCAAGATCAGTGCCCTCTTCTCAGTTCCCTTAGGGATTCTTCTTAAGATCTTTCTTAACATTGTTAGCATCTAATGACTGTCACAGTCCTCCCTGAATACCTAATTCCTGGTGTTGCAAAACAACCCAATTCAATCATTTTCCTCTACACAGATCTGTACACAGCCTCCTGGGATACCTAGTCAACCCCCTCCTAAACACACTTGAATACACGAATATCTCACAGGTACTTCTATTAATACAAAAATCATATAAATATCTAGACAGATTTATGTCAATCACCCAAATACGTGTACTCAGTTTACAAGGTCCCATCGTGCATTGCACTGGAACATATAAAGCCCTGAAGAAGTTTATCTCCTACTTTAACACTTGAAACCCAGCCACATTCCACACTTGAACATGTGTCCAGAAGTCTCCAATCCAAATCCCACTGGTATCTGGACAGTTGTCTCTAGTAGTCCTGCAAAAATGCTTAAATAACTAGGTACATAGCCCAGCATGGCATACCACTTAAATAACTACATATCTTCTTACTCATTCCCACTCTAATATTAGAAAGCCTAGTTTTGTGTGCCTAGTTTTATGTTCCTAGTTTTGTAGAGGGACCACAGTTCATCTCACCAGAATTCTTGGATAACAGCCTGTGCACATAAGTCATATGATCCTTGCATGCATTTTCCATGCAACCCCAACTGAAGACCTGATCCTTTGAAGCAGTGAGAGATATTCTTCCATCGTATTCTCTCCTCAAAGCTCTTAGAGTTTTTCATGTCAGTGATGAAGCACTTGCCTGGACCACATCAAGATGCTTTTAAGAACCTGACGGGGCTGAAGAATTTTATCATTAAGAAGGTGGAGCAGAACCGATGCACACTGGACCCCAATTCCCCAAGGAACTTCATCGACTCTTTTCTCATCCGCATGAAAGAGGTACCTTCAGCAGCTAGGGGGAGGTCCAAAGCCAGTCAGAGAGAATCAGGCTGGTGGAGGAAACTGAGTCCCATTCCCAGTAGCCTGGGTTATAATAATTCTCACCATCCCCATTACTGTTTTGTCCTTATAAACAGGCAGGTATATGATGGAAATGCATTCACTGTAGAAGTCCTGCCATGTGCCAGAAGCTGTTATAATTGCTTTACTGTATTAGCCTACCTAACACCCACAACTGTCCTTTCATGGGAAGAGGGGCTCAATGTCATGAACTGTGAAGTTAAGAACTGCCTGGAATCTTGGAAATCATAGGAAGAAAGGGTGTTCTTAGGAGTGGAAATCATGGCAGGGTGCAGCTGATAAGGTTCTTCAGGACAAGCCCTTCTTCATTTTATAGATGTAGGACTCTGAGGCATGAGGAACTTATGGTGGTGACCATATAATATCTACAGATAAAAGAAAGTGGTCAGTTCCAATTCTGTCCCATCTATGCCCTCTCATATTTAATCTGTCTATTATTCCTATTTTATTTATGCCTATATCACCTGCAATTATCTGTGTATATATCTCTCTTTCTATATCTATATCTAGTCTATCTATATCATCTATATCTATATTATCCATTTCTCTCAATATATTATCTACATACATCCTATATTGTAAGCAGCTTAAAATTGAGATGTACATTCAACTTAGCAAGGCAACCTCCTTCTGCTTCTTGGTCTCAATTGATGAGAACATTCCAGAACAGCTCTAGAACTATAGCCTATTATACCCTGAAGTTTACAGGTGTGGAATTTCAAATTCATAGTCTATGTAGCTTTCCTCAGGCATGACATAAGCAATCAGAGGGCACTAGTCCAATGCTCATCTATCTGACTCCATGGCTGGTGCTTTTAGGCATCATTCTCTAACCTTTTCCCTGCTCATCAGATGCACTTGTGAGACTAGTTATATGCTTTACAGTAGAATAATGGAGGATCCTCATCCTCATCTGAATGTAAGTCTCCCACCACTAAAAATCATTACTGAGAGTTACTGAGCCTGAATTTTCATGGATTGGGGGTGGGGATGGGAAGGATTTTTTTTCATCTGAACTTAAGTAGTAAAGAGAGTCATGTGTTTCCACTTACTATTCTGTACCAACATAGAAACACACAGAAAATGTGTTTTTGATTCACAAAAATTGATTAATCCATGTTTGCAATTCATACAGTTTGCAATCATCTTGCGGATTGGTTACATGTATATAACAGCCTGTTTTTTTTAATGCATTTAGTACATGGTCTACAGAGTCTCATTATGTAGACTGGGCTCATAGTGATCCTCCTGTTCTCAGCCTCCCAAGTTCTGGGATTACAGGTGCATGCCACCATGCCCAGTCTCAATCGCAGTCTCGGCGTGTCTGTGGGTGGGGCTGGCATGGCATGCAACAGTCTGTTTTTTTTTAATCCCTTCCCTAACCCTCACCTTAACCTTCCTCTTTGGGTTTCCCTATCTCCCCTCATATACTTGTTGATATTATTTTTCTGAGCCAATATGATGGCATATAGTGTTTATATGAACTGAAATTATTAGATTCCCTACAATGGCAATCTATTTCTTTCAATTGTCATTCCCCTCATTGCCCTATCCCTTACCCTGGTTCCCTTAGACCCCTTCCCTACTGCAAGAGATCCATCCCATTGTCCCTTTCTCTCCACGCTTTATCATTTTCTTTCTTTGTATTTTGTTTCACTCAAAGGGAAAATACAACATTGTATTTAACCTTGTCTTCCTGGTTTATTTCACTAGACATTGTATTTCCTAGGTGCATCCAGTTTCCCTCAAGTGTCTCAAATATGTCATTTTTTTATGGCCAAATTGTGTTTTATTGTACTATATGAATACTACATTTTCATTATCAAATCCTCTGTTGATATGTGTACAGACTGTTTCCAGGATTTAACTAAGACAAGTGCTGCTACAGACATTGGTACGCATGTAGTATGATTTGGGGAAGATATCTAGGAGAGAGATAGCTGAATTATAAGGCATTTCTAATTTTATTTCTTTGAAAAATTTCCATACTGAATTCCATAATTGTTATGCTTGTTCACATCCACACCAGCAATGCAAGATGGTTCCTTTTTCACCACAGCCTCACCAGTATTTGTTACTGTTTAATTTCCTAATGACTGCCATTCTTTCTGGAGTAAGATGGAATTTTAGTGTTCTTTTAATTTGCATTTTTCTAATAGCCAGAGATGTTGAGTACTTTCCATATATTTTTAACATGCGTTTGACCATTAATTTTTTATTTTTCAACACATTTCTTGACTGGGTCTCTTATTTTAGGTGATTAGTGTTGGGGGGGACTTTTTGCTGTTGTTAATTTTATTTTTACATCTTTGTGTAGCCTAGATATTAGTCTTTCTGAGGAATACCTGGAAAATTATTTTCCTTTCCAAGATTCTTTCTCCACTCTATTGTTTCTTTTGCTGTGCAAAAGCTTTTAATCTGATTTAATCTCATTTGTTGATTCTTGCTGCTATTTCATGTGTGATTGATGCTCTGTTTAGAAAACGTTTTACTATATCTATGTTTCCTAGTGTTTTACTTCTATTGTCTTCCAGAAGGTTTAATGTTTCTGTTTTCAGGTTTGCATCTTTGACCCATTTTGATTTTAATTTAGTATATATTGAGAAGTAGGGATCCTGTTTCATTCTTCTATGAACAGATAGTTTTCCCAACACCACTTGCCCAACATACGCTTTTGGATACTTTGTCAAAGATCAGATAGTTGAGTGTGTTTGGAGGGGTTTCTGTATCCTTAATTCAGTTCCATTGATCTACATAGTTGTTTTTATTTGGCTACCATGCCATTTTGGTCATTATTGCTTTGTAATATAGCTTGAAGTAAGGCAGTACAATGCTGCTTGTTTTGGTCTTATTGCCCAAAATGACTTTTGCCAATTTAGGTCTCTTCTTGTTCCTTATGAATTTTAGGGCTGTTTTTGTTAGATTTGTAAACTATGCTGTTGGTAGCTTTTTGGGACTTCACTGAAGCTGCATAACAGTTTTGATTTTTACTTATTTTATTTTTTAAAATTTTATTTTATTGAGAAACAAATATCAATGAGACAGTTTCAAAAATAGATTAATAGGACAGTTTCAATAATTAACACATTGTATATTGTTATCTTCTTAGTGGTTGTCTATAGTACAAGATGCAGACAGAATATCCTGTCCAAACACTATTAGTACAAATCTCTCTTCTCATTGAATTAAGTGAAAGCAGCTGTATATCTATCCTAACTATTCTGCATATACAGATACAAAATGGTCCTTCCTTTGTATCACCTTTATTTGTTTAGTTCTGTCAGAAATGGGTATTCCGTTGGTATCTAAATACTATAGGTGCATGAATTCAGCAAAAAACAATCCGACACAGTCCAGCAGCCCACAATAGTAGTGGGTTATCCACAGAAGTTGTTGACTTGAGCCTTTCACAGCTCATCATATTAATGTGGCTTTACTTTATATACCTCATTTTTATACTTTTCTGTTGGATGGTTAAGACCAAGACAAAGCAAGACTTGTATGTACAACAAGAAATGCAAATTTTATATCTGACAAGGTCAGTCAAGTACCCTCAGGATTTATTCTGCAACCCTGTACTGTGCTTTATAGATCCTTTGTCAGTGTCAGCCATGTGGATGAGTCACTGCCATTGCTTGCAAGTTTTTTTTTTTTTTTGAACTGGGGATTGAATTCAGGCCCTTGCGCTTGCCAGGGAAGTGCTTATTCCACTGAGTCATCTCCCTGGCCCAATGGTCTTGTTATTAGGGCCATTTGGTTCTGCCTATGCAGGAGTGAGAAATATCTTTCCATTTTCTTATGTCTTCTATATCCTTTTCCAGAGGACTGTAGTTTTCTTTGTAAAGGTCTCTCAGTTTTTTGGTTAGGTAATTCCTAATTATTTCCTTATTGTTGAAGTTACTGTGAATGATATTGCTTTCACAATTTCCTTTCCATCTTGTTCATTATTTTTGGCCTATTCATTGTTGATATAAACAATGCTATATATATTATTGGTGTACACAAATGTTGATGATTTTTCTGTATAGTATATCTTGTATCCTGCTTTGCTGAAATTGTTTACTGATTGTAAATAGATTTGGGTGGAGTTCTTGGCATTTTGTGTGTAGAGTATCATGTCATCTTAAAATAGTAATAAGTTGAGTTCTTCCTTTCCTATATGTATCTCTTTTGTTTCTTTCAATTGCCTGGTTTCTCTGGCTAATGTTTCAAGTATTATGTTGTATAGAAGAGGTGATACTGGACATTCTTATCTTGTATCTGACTTTTGGGAGAATTTGCCTTCTATCTCCATTTACTTTTTTTTTTTGATCTTTTTGAGACAGGGTCTTGCTATTCAGCTGGGGCTGGCCTTGAGCTCACTTTGTAGCTCAGACTTGTCTCAGACTTGCAACTATCCTCTTGTCTTAGCCTCCTGAGTGCTGGAATTAGAGGTTTGCATCATTATATCTGGATCTCTCTATTTACTTTGAAGGATAGCTTTAATAGCTAAGTCAATCTGGGTTGGAAGTTATTTGCATTTAAAGCTTGAAATACTTCAAGATCTTCTGGCTTGGAGCATTTGTGGTGAGAAGTCTGCTGTGATTTTAGTTGCTTTACGTAGAAAGATATGTGATTTTTTTTTGCCTTTCTCTGGCTGTTTTTACAATTCAGTTTTATTTATTTTTTTGCTTGATATGTGTAAGTTTAATGAGGATAAGCCTTGGTAAAGTTCTTCTTTAACATAATTGTTCGGTGTTCTATGAGGATTACTTACTTGAATTTTAAAATCTTTTCTTATGTTTGATTTTTTTTCATAATCTCTGTAAGTATGTTGGTGAATTGACAGGTGCAATCTTCTATATTTTCTCTAAATCTGATTTGCCTCAGATTGGGCTTCATATTGCCATCTAGTAGCTGCTAGATAGTTATCTCTTGTTCTTTAATTTTCCTTTTTGACTTCTTTGAGCTGTTTATCACAATTCACTCTTTCATGCTCAGTATCAGCCACTGTACTTCATATTAGACATGTGTGCACTAATCTACTTTCTCCGTGCCTTCTAAGAACTTTTCATAGATTTCTGTTTGGTATTTGTTTTTTTCTTTCTTTGTCACCAAATTGTTCTGTCTTAGAGTTTGGGTGGGTTGGCATGGAGGTTTTCTATTTCCTTGTTTCTCCACTCTCCTACATTGGTCTATGTTACATGTATAGTCTTTTGAAAAATTATATTTAGAATTACTGCAGGTTGGGGACTGGAGAATTTGTAGTTTATATGGAGCTGTTTTGTAGGATGGTGCCTTCCTGTGAATAATTTTTGGCTTGATATGTTGAGTGCTAGTGCATAATCCTCTTATTTACTTTAAGTGATTTAGATTCTGTTGCTGTGTTTTGCCAAAAGAAATTATTTTATTTATAACAACATCTCAAATTCAATATTGCCACAATTCTATATGATTGTTCTTGGAGGTATTCTTCTCCTCCTTGTATATCCTCTATGCATGCTATGGGTTTTGATTACTTGTGGTTTCTCTGCAGAGAGATCAATGAGGTGGGGTGGGAAGAATAGTGGATGTTTGTATGAGTCATGTTAGGCACTGATGTATAGGTATGAAAGGAAGATTCATGGTAGATGAGAAGAAAAGATTGATGTAGGTTCTCATTTGATTGGAACTTTCAGTTGCATTGCAGGTTAAGTACTGAGCTCTCAGAGGATATTGGATGAAGAGAAAGTTTACATTTGGGAAAAGGATCTTGCTTTGTGACTGAGGAAAGCTATGTGGTTGTCAGAACTTGTTTATAAAGAGGACAGTAAGCTAGGTAAGATGTGGAAAAGCCAAGGAATACTAGAGAATACAGGAGTGTTGGTGAAGGAGCTAAGTATGATCAATTTTAAAACTTGGCAGTTGGAGTCTATGTGTGTGGAGGAATAAAGGAATATGTTAATAATATTATCTCAGAGGTTTAAGATAAAGAAAGTATATATGGAGCTAAGAGGGGCGAAAGGACCCAGACTCCTACTGAATCAAACCCAATTTAAGAATACATATACAAGTGTAACCACCTAACGTACATGTGAAACCATAGAAGAACATAACCACATACTACTAAATAACTCAAGGAACATCCAAAAATGTAACCAATTAGATATCTGAAGAGAGCACAGATTAAATGTCCAAAAAGATGCACCACATCTGATTTTCAATTAATTGCCATGACAGAACCTGAGTGCTCACACCCCAGTGACTCCTCGATCTTTCCATTGCAAGGCAGGGTGAGCTCAGACCTGAGTCTTTCTCAGGGTGAGGAAACTCTTGCTGTCTCTCTCCCTGAGTGTGATGGCGAATTTGGCAGACAAGTTCACTGGCAGTAAATTGTCCACTGAATCAGGATTATTTCTGTGGAATCAATGCAACTACAGAATAACAACCCAATCCATTACAGTGGCTAGCTGAGAGACAACATTCCATAAGACCATGCTTCAAGTCTCCCCTTAGTAGCAGGAACATGGTACCATTGCAAGCTTCCAATCATGTGTAAGTCATGCTGAAACTGGTGTCTGATTGCAGGAACTGAATCTTTGATCACTGGTCTCTGCCTCTCAGGGGGACAACTACCGCAGTCTCCCATGAATGTCCCTCCCTCATCGACTCTGGGAGCTTGGCAATGTTAAGTCACCAAGGGGCTTCTCTGGGACTGAGGATGCCATGTCCATCCCTTTCACACTACACTGTTCCTTCCAGCTCCCACTTGCATGACTGTCCCAGGTGGATCATCCTGCAGTTGACCACTCAACAACTGTTGCAGGGGATACTGGGGAAGCAGAGTCTTGTGTTCTTCCTCTGTCTCTAGCTGCAAAATATTCTTCTAGTCCTGATGCCCTTCTCCATGGGCAGAGAAGTTATTAGTTTTTCTGTCCCTTCTTATTGGCAGACAGTGGTTGCTGTTAGTGGTGCTGTGGCTTCTCCAGTGCGGTATGAGGCCACCTCTTCAGCATCTCTTAATCCTATTTTTCCCCCTCTGTTTGCTCCTGATTGTTCCCATGTACACACCCCTCATTTGGGGTCCTCTACAAGCCACTGTTCTGACCTCAGAACTTTGTCCTCAAAAATCTGAGTTGTTGGCAACCACTTCTCTGACTTCTTGTCTTCCTCCCAAAATATGTTTTAACTTTGTCAGAATCACACCCTCTTGCCCTCTCCACTTTTTTTTCCTCAAAATCTCTCTGTATAATTCTTTTTCTACATATTGTTACCATTTAAAGAGTGAAAACAGAGTTAACTCAGGGATGCATAGGCAGCCAGGCAATGGATCAGAGGAAAAGATTTGGGGCAGAGCCAGAGAAGTGTGTTACGCTGGGAAACTACAGAAGATAGTAGATCTAGGGGCCTACTTGCCATCCCTTCCATACTATGTTGTTCCTTCCAGCTCCCACTTGCATGACTGTCTCAGGCATATCATCCTGCAGTTGACCACTCAACAACTGTTGGGTGGGATACTGGGGAAGCAGAGTCTTGTGTTCTCCCGCTGTCTCCAACTGCAAAATAGATCTTGACCTAAAATGGGTGGATCCAAAGCAAAATCTCCTATTCCATTCTGGAAATGGGTGGCAGATGGGCACAGTATAAAAGCCCCTCTCATTTTAGGAAAAAAATAACCCCAATTCAGAGTTCTTCATGAAGAACCTGGTGATGACCACACTGAACCTCTTCATTGCGGGCACAGAGACAGTCAGTACAACACTGCGCTATGCTTTGCTGCTGCTCATGAAGTACCCAGAGGTGGAGGGTAAGGCTGCATGGATCAGGGAAGTGAGGACTCTGATCCTCTAGGATCCTCTGAGGCCCCATCTTTCCCATGCTCCTGGGCCTTCAAACACACACTGCTGTGCACAGACAAAGGCTATTGGGCTGAGAGGCTCCAGCCCAGTCTCAGGAGTTGGTTGTATATTTCTGACCTCAACTAGTAAATGGCTGCTCTTAACCACAAAAGTCCCATTGCTTGCCTCAGCAGAACAGTGTCTAACTCTCCTTCTTCCAGACTCCCCTACCTATCTAATATGACCAGGTCAAAATGAATAAATCCAGCAGTGTTTATGGTTAATCTATTTCCTGTAGTGAACATCTATCTCATACATAGACACATGCATGTGTTCAGTTTAACATATTTGCACCAGACTCTGTGCTCAGAGGCCACTAAATACCTATTTTTTCCTCTCCTACAGCCAAAGTCCATGAGGAGATTGATCGAGTGATTGGCAGGAACCGACAGCCCAAGTTTGAAGACCGGGTCAAGATGCCCTACACAGATGCAGTGATCCATGAGATTCAAAGATTTGGAGATGTCATCCCCATGGGCCTGGCACGCAGGGTCACAAAGGACACCAAATTTCGGGACTTCCTCATCCCTAAGGTGCCAGCCTGATAAACTGAAGGGTCCTCCAACACTCTCTTTGGTACCCCAGTGACAGTTGCGATCCTCTACTTCATTCAGAGTCTCTCTCGATGCCTTTTTTGTTCATACTTATTTATGTATTTATTTTTCTGGATGGTGTCTTCTGAAATGACTGTTGGCTTTCTTAAGTGTGCCTCTCTAATCCTGACTGGCTGGAATGGGAGCTGGCACCTTCCTGTACCATTCTCAGTTATTGTTCCTTCACCTTCCCTACAGTGGCCAAGTGAAAACCAAACCAAGCTTCTGCAGGCTAATGATATAGTCTCATCATTTCTATGTGCCCTCTGTCATTTAGAGCCTTCTGATTCTTGTGTTTCTCCCGGAATTTTCCCTGACATGGGTCTGGACACCATGTCCCACAGACTGCCTGCCTCCAAGGACATAAAATCTTTTCCCCTAGAACTTGTTCCCTGGGGACACGACTCTTCTTCAGCCTGTGTGGGGAGAGATAAGCACCAATTATTACATATTTTCTTCCTGGGGCATCACAAAACTCCACGTTGTTCCACCCTCCTATCTTTAGACATGTGCTGTACCTCCCCAATCTCATGCCATGCATCTTTTAGACTTTACCTCCCAAAAACCATGATATCTCGTCTGCACGTATTTCCTGTCTCAGAAGACCCAAGTTTCTATATCTCTTTACTCTCTTTTTTCCTGTGGCACTCCTATTCTTCATGTAAATTCCTGGGGCTTTAAGAGCCTTTATCCCTTGACCAATTTTGTGCAATTTCCATTCCTCCTCCCTGACAGGGCACTGAAGTGTTCCCTATACTGGGATCTGTGCTGAGAGACACCAAGTTCTTCTCCAATCCTGGTGATTTCAACCCCCAACATTTCCTGGATGAGAAGGGGCAGTTTAGGAAGAGTGATGCTTTTGTGCCTTTTTCCATTGGTAAGACACCACTGTTGTACATCAACAAAGACAGCTCATTCTGACTTTCCTTTCTGAGGTGGAGCCTAACACTATTCACCAGCTTAGGGTTCCTCTTGGATCTTACCTTCAGCCAACCAATTGCAATGTCAAGAAATATGAAACACAAAACTTCTGTATGTAGACCGAAGGGCAGGAAAGACTAGACCTCTTTCAGAGATGAGGAAGTGTTGACTGAGTCAGATATTTCCTAGGATACAGAAAAATTCTTTTATCCTTGACAGTTAATGACAACACAGAAGCTATGTGTGACAGTGTATTAGGGAAAGGGCACACCTGAACTTCACGTTTTTTTATCCTGTTATCAATGCACCCACCACATGTTCAAGGGGAAACAGACTCAGAGAGGATTAGCTGCTTTTCTCAGGCCACAGTGTTTCAGGTCCATTTACCTAAATGAACACAAGTAAGTGTCTGCATGGGATCAGGTATTAATGAGAGTTGATTTCATTTGTACCCATCCCACCTCTTTCCTACAGGAAAGCGATACTGTTTTGGAGAAGGCCTGGCTAGAATGGAATTATTTCTCTTCCTCACCACCATCATGCAGAACTTCCGCTTCAAGTCCTCGCAGGAGCCTCAGGACATTGACGTGTCTCCAAAATTTGTGGGCTTTTCCACCATCCCTAGAAACTATACCATGTGTTTCCTGCCCCGCTGATCCTGAAATCTGCCAAGGCGCAGCAAGTGGAAGGGGGAATAAGGGTGGGGCTGGAGGTTGGGATGAGGCTAAGGGAAAGGGCAAAAATAAGAGGAAGAAGCGTCTGACATATGAAGAATCAATAAAGAGAATGGAATAATGTCTGGTTCTTTTACATTCTTCAAAACTTATATAATTGAGGCATGGTTTTGCATGTGTGTAATAACAGCTTCTCAGGATTCTGACATAGGATAAACACAAGTTTCAGATCTCTAGGGCAATGTAGTAAGAACCTGTTTCAAAATAAAAAAAATGTTAAAAGCAGGAATGTAGTTTGGAGCTAGAATGCTTACTTAGCATGAAGATAACGGTAGCATCAATACCAAGTAGAAGGGAGAAACTGGATGAGAGTGAGTGAAATCTTATATTGTGTATGCACAGTAATATAAACAGTGATTCACTATGCTGCATGAACTATGTCAGTCCCATGCTGAAAAGTTCCTATGATTTTTATGCTCACAAACCCGAGGGAGACCAGTGTTTACCCACAGTTTTCAGCTGACAAAGCTGAGACTTACAAAGTCGCTATCTGATGTCTCACAGCTCATAAGTACCCAGGAAGTGCTAGAGCACAGGTATGTGTCTACAGACCATGAAACAGATTATAAAATGTCACCTCTTCCTCAAAGAAAACCTCAAAAAAGGTTAGACATATTACTCCACAATCTGAACAGCCCTGCCCAGGGGGATAATATGCAGAGCCCTGAAAGGTACCTGTCCTGATTTTACCATACCCAAGGCTCCACTTTCATCTACTATAGGCATCTTAAATATCATAGCATCACTGTCTGTGCCACTACTATTTTTTTATTTTTTAAAGAAAGTACAAAATAGAGTTCAAATAGAAAAAATTGCAAGTGATACAGATTTTCATTTAACAAAGTAATATGAATTTCACAGTATTTGACTTTTTTATTTTTTGAGGAGAGCACAAATTAGAATTAAAATAAAAAAATTAGAAGTGATGCAGATTTTCACTTAAAAATAATATAAGCACTTCTCTGGCCTGACCTTACTGCTGCTGGGCCATCCAAGGGAGCCAACATTGCCGTTTTCCTAGCGATTTTGTCCAACACACGACCCCTCTCATGACATCATGGTGGCCTACTGGTGACAGGCTGGACTCAGCTACATTCGCTACTCCCAGATCTGTGCAAAGGCAGTGAGGGGTGCCCTGAAGAGGAATTCAGAGCAAATGCAGAGAAGACTGCTGGCATTTTCACCCTGAAGATGTGTGGGCACATGTTATGGCAGATTGTAATCCATGTCAGTTTGTGAGGGGAAAAAGTACCTGTCTTATTTATAAATTAATGATACCAATAAATTGATGCATAGTTCATGGTTAAAAAAATAATATGAATCTCTCAGTATTTGTTGTAATACATAGTGTTGTCTTCCAACCAGTTATTCACATTATTAGATATATGCTTGTAAAATTGGAAGAAGAAAAAAAGAAAGAAATGTATAAGGAATTCAGAAGACAAAAAGAAAAACAATTGAAAAAAGGAGACAAAACAAATTAAAGCATTGAATGCTTCTTTCCATAAACCAACAGAGATGCACAACATAGTTGTCAAAAGCATCCTGCTTACCTACATAGATAAATCTCTTTCCCCCACTCCCTCTCCTGTCCTTCTCTTCAACTGAGTAACTCTTTCCTTTTGGATAAGTTCATTCTCTTTTAACAGTGTCCATTTTACCTTTCAGATTGCATTTTTCTCTTTCAGCTTTTCACACTAAGGAGACAATATGATGTTTGCACATGTGGGTGTGATTTATTTCACTTGAGTATGTTCTCTAGTTGCATCCATATACCAATAAAAACTCTAATTTATTCTGTTTTATAACTGAATAATACTCCATTGTGTAAAAATACCATGTCTTTCTTATCCATTCTTCAGTTGATGGGCATCTGAGTTGTTCCCAGTATTTACCTATAACAAATTGCTATCAACATGGGTGCATAAATATTGCTTTGGTATGAGGTTTTCAGTTCTGGAAAAATACCCAGGAGGGGAATAGCTGGATTGAATGAGATCTCCAATCTTAGCTTTTTAAGGAATCTCTACACTGATTTCCATAGTGGTTGTAGCACTTTTGTATACAAAGAATGAAACACTGAGAGAAATTAGGGAAACAATGCCCTTCACAACAATATATAAAAAAGGAATACTTAGGAATCAATCTAAAAAAGGATGTAAAAGATTTACACACTGAAAAATATGGTGTTCTCAGAACAAAGATTGAAGAGGAGTTGAGAAAATGGGAAAATATTTCATGCTCCTGGATAGAAAGACCCAACACTGTGAAAACGGCCATACTCCCAAAATTGCTATACAGATTCAATGAAATCCTGATTAAAATACCATTAGTATACCTTAGAGCTAGAGAAAACTTTCTTCAAATTCATTTGGAACCAGAAAAGAACCAGAATATCATAAGCAATCCTGGGAAACAAAGGAAATCCCTGACCTGAAATTATACTATAAATCTACTATGACAAAATCAGCATAGTAATGGAATGGAGACAGACTTGAGGGTCAGTGGAACAGATTAGAAGATTCAGATACAACTGTAAATATGCACAGTCACCTTACTACTGGAAGAAGGATAGCTTCTTTCATCAATAGTGCTGGAAAAACTGGTTTTCCATCTGCCAAATTATAAAACTAGACACATGGCTATCATCATGCACAAAGCTATAGTCAAAATGAATCAAAGATTTAAATCCTGAAACAGAAACAAGGAAAATGTAGGCAGAGATATTAGAGATGGGGTAGGTGGAGTGTTCATAAGCAAAAATCAAACTGCATAGGAAATACTACAAAGAATCACCAACTGGGATCTCATCTTTTTGAAAAGCTTCTGCACTTCAAAGCAAATCTCTAACAGTAAAAAGAAAACCAAGAATCTGGTGAAAAATTATAGCGGACTGTCCCTCAAACAAAGGACTTCTATCTAGAATACACAAAGAATTAAAAAAATCAGGCCCCACAAATTCAAAGACCCAATCCAAAAATGGGAAACTGAGATAAATATAAACTTCTCAGAGGAAGAAATACAAATGGAAAGTAAATATATAAAAAGTGTTCAACATCATTGGTCATTTGAGAAATGTAAATTCAAACAACCCTGAGATTCCATCTCATCCTAGAAAGAATGGCTAACATCAAGAAGTCTGCCAATGGGAGGCCACCCTTTCAAGGTTCCCAGCTTTCTGTCCCTCTCTAGGACAGGAGTTTTCTTTTCCCCAATAAATATATTCTGCACTTAAAAAAAGAAATCAGCCAATAACAAATTCTGGGGAGGCTGTGGAGCAAAGGAACCTTCTTTCCACCCACTGATTCACTATCTGACTCAGAGTCAAGTCTGGAGGACTGGAATCAGACCTCTAAAGGACTGAATGTGAGAGACAACCAATTCAGAGTACATAAGGAGGAAAAGTGGTGTATCACATTGCCATGGCTCTGTGTAGGTTTTTGCACAATATACAAAAACTGTATATTTATCCTCAGACTAAATGTGACATGGATTCTGGTGCAGGGTGTGAGGTAGGGATGCTTCTGATTAAAATCCCCTTTGATGTGCAGTAGTTGACAGATGCACCATCTATACTTCAATAAACATTAGCCCAATTACACAAATGCTCCAATGGTAAACAATGAATTACTATGATTGTATGTTCAGTTATTTAAGGACACGACTACTTGTCATGAGCCAGGACATAATAAGACTGAAGATAATAAAATATCACAGTTCAGTATGCAACAAGAACTCTGTGTGTCCTAAGACTGGAGTTCAGTGTGATTGTTTGGGTACTACCCTACTTCAGCAGTATATATTCTTTTCCTAAGTTCTTTAAAAGTTTGACAGACATTAGTGACAAAGATAGAAAAGATATGTCACTATGCTAAAAGAGTGAACATTGATCTTTAGAGATGCTAGGTTTTCCCCCCATAGTCTTTTTATCAATTTCTCCCTTTCCTAGAAGAATGAGTAGTTTAAAGTTTTCACCTCATGTTTATCAACAACTTTAACAAATACAGCTAAAGTGTGCTGGAGAGATAAAATTGACATTCTTACTTGAAAATTAAAAAAAATCATTTTCTTTCAACCAGAATAGTTTTTTTCTTAGATATATTTTCTTTTTAAATTCATTTTAATGAGAAAAATAGCAATGAAAGAGTTTCAAAACAGGTTAGTAAGACAGTTACAATAATTAATACATTTCATATTGTGGTCTTCATAGTAGTTATTCAGAGGACAAGAAGCAGACATGATATCTAAACAATATTAGTACAAATCTTTCTTCCCACTGAACTAATAGAAGGTAGCTGTGTATCTATCTATCTATCATCTATCTATCTATCTATCTATCTATCTATCTATCTATCTATCTATCATCTATTCACTGCAAAATGGTCTTTCATTTATTTATTATTTATTTATTTTACTTTATTGACAAACAAATATCAATGAGACATTTTCCAAGTTGATTAATAGGACATTTTCAATAATTAATACATTGCACATTGTTATCTTCTCAGAGGTCATCCACAGCAGAAGAAGCAGCCAGGACATCCAGTCCAAACACTACTAATAGAAACCTTTCCTCTCACTGAACCAAGCGAAAGCAGCCGTACATCTATCTTAACTATTCTATTTATACAAATACAAAATGGTCCTTCCTCCGTATCCCCTCTCTCCAGTTCAGTCCTGTCAGAGATGGGTATTCTATTGGCGTCTAAATACTATAGGTGCTTGAATTCAGCAAAACAATCCAACACAGTCCAGTAGTAGTCCACATAGTAGTGGGTTATCAGGAGAAGTTGTTGACTACAGCATTTTACAGCTCAGCATATTAATATGACTTTACTTTATATACTTCTTTTTTATATTCTTTTGCTGGATGGTTAAGACCAAGATAAAGCAAGACCTATACAACAAGAAATGTAACTTTTGTATCTGATAATGTCAGTCAAATCCCCTCAGGATTTATCCTGTAATCCTGTACTGCACTTTGTAGAT